TCTGTCTCTCTCTGTCTCTCTCTGTCTCTCTTTCTCTCTCTCTGCTTGCTCTTCTTCCTTCTCCCTTGTTTCTGGGTGCATCTTCTTCTGCTTGTTAGCCACCTTCTCCCTCCCTCTCTCTCTCTCTCTCTCTCTCTCTCTCTCTCTCTCTCTCTCTCTCTCTCTCTCTCTCTCTCTCTCTCTCTCTCTGTTTTTTTATTGTTTCTTTCTTTTTCTGTTTTTTTTGTTTGCTGGTGGCGATGAAGGGTGTCATGGTAGATGTGTGGTGGGGCGTGGTTGAGAGGGATGAACCGAGGAGGTACGATTGGACCCCATACAGGCAGCTGTTCGTCATACTCCGGCGACTGGGATTGAAGCTCCAGGCAGTTATGTCCTTCCACTCCTGCGGTTCCAATGTTGGAGATGACTATAAACAACCTCTTCCCCGATGGGTGCTGCAGATCGGTGACGTAGATGAGGACATCTACTTCGCCGACGTGCACGGCAACAAGAATGCGGAGTGTGTGTCCTTGTTCGCCGACGAAGAGCCGGTCCTTCACGGGAGGACTCCAATTCAGGTAAGCTAACCCTGTGGTTTTTATTTATTTATTGATTTTTTTTTAAAAACCCTTCTTGGACTACTGGCGCCACTGACCTAGCTCAGTTGTTTACACCCCTGAACTGTTGAAATACAGACCCCAGGGTTTTTTTTTTTTTTTTTTTTTTTCAGACCCCAGTTCGTACTCCACTGGAAGCAGATGAGTAAAAAAAAAATATTACAATTCTGAGTTACCAAGGGGTCAGGTCGATGATGATGATTTTTATTTTTTTTTTGGGAAGTCGACGATGATATCTTTTTTTCTTTTTTCTTTTTTCAAAAAAATTGGGTTGGATCCACCCAAGGGTGGGTAGCCTAAACCGTATGTGTTCATATAGTCGGTAGACTATTCCCGTCCTTATCGAGGGAGATGCTAACCTTCTCTCGGCTCAACGGCGATGATATCTCGAGGCCGTGACCCTCCGAAAAGGAAAAGGAATAAAAAAGAAATGCGAGGCTTTGAAGTCGGGCATTGCTTTTCCTTGTATTTCTTTCTTTCTGTCACTGTGTGTCGTTTTTTCACAAAGTAGAAGACTTGTTTTGCTTGGAGGGGCCCCCTGTATATGCTTAGGAAAAGTGATATGTAGATAGTGAAAGGTGAAATTGAGAGAAGAATATATAGCTAAGTTGAAAAAAAAAAAAAAAAAAAAAGGGGTAACTAGGCGGGAGTCCTAACCAGGTTGAGAACTACATCCGTACGGGATGTATCTGGCCACAATCAGGAGCACAAAACATTAGCGGAAGTCCTAATGAGTATTCCCCTAGGAAATAGAACATGAGTTGGAATGGTCATGGAATCAGAAACTTCAAACCACCAGTACACACCTCACATCCGCCGCCGCAGGCCGTGTCAGAGGCTGAAAAGTGACCCCGGCGACCAGTGCCATACCCCCGTTCACGGGGTCTGTGCACGGAGACCGGTCATGGAGTTCATGGCATAGGAGTTCAACGAGTTCATGGAGAG